CTCAACCTTGTCCACCTTGTCCTCTTGTAAAAGATCAACCTCAATTTCTCTGTCCCACACACGGCCGAGCCCAGGAAATGTCTACGTTCTGACGATTGTGCACGTACTGATCCAGATTAGCGCCAAAGTTTAAGCAGAACCCAAACATTATTTGAAATCGTGACTTAATGTAGGTCCGAAATTCCTGGTGAGCTTGAAGAACAGCGAGTTACTCAGAAGCCTTCCGTAGCAGAGGTCATCAAAGTCCTTTTTAGCAAAGTCACCTATGAGAATATGACGGACCCCAAGAAGACTGAGAGCTTACCGTTTTGACAGCGACTTCCAATTTTGGAGAATCTTTTCGTACTATTTTTCCTCTACGTACTTCTCCACAGCTGAACCTACAGATGAGTTGATCGAGTTGCACGTGTTCCGCACGAAATTCCCATGACGCCAGTCCAACCCCTCTAAGCAACTGCACCTGTTGCTGCAATATAACAATTTACAGAACTACTGATGAAGGGGAAGGCGCTCTTGCACCAAGGGGGGGGGGGAATTGTTAAGCGTCTACATTGGAGGAGAGGTCGAAATTCGGGAAAATGAAAGTTGAAATGAAAACTGCTCTCTCCTTCACCTAGTCCCTGTAAGGCTTAGTCCTAGAGACCAGGAGTGATGAATGCTTACTGTGTTGTAGTCTGAGCTACTCCCCCACCCCCTTAGTACTCCAGCGCCAAGGAAAAGAACTCGTGTGTAGAGTTAACCGACCGATCTGAAGATCATAGGAATGATTCTCATAGTACGAGATCAGATCAGGGATGGAGTCGAAAGCCTTATAGCTGAGCACGTAATACTTTTTCTTCACCGATTGAACGATGATGTGCATTAGCTGCAAATAGTTAGCCATATTTGCTCCGTATCGGTGGAAGAGCTTTAGGATCTCGTTCCAGTAGGGGGGGGGCGTGGACATGTGTGCGACAATCGCCATGCCCTAATTCATCCAGTTTCTCCGCAAGAAAATGAAGCTACGAGCTGGGTGTAAAATCGGCAGCAAAAGGGCTCAGGCATCAAGCGGACACAGTTGCCCATCGAAAATGGGGCGTTATCGAAGGTACGGTGCATCATCTTCCAGACTTGTTGTGGGAGGGAGGAGCTCGGGCGAAGCTGGAAATTGCTCAAGCAAGCTGAAATATCCCTCCCCGCTCGGAGTAATCCCGTTTTCAACAAAAAGAACGTGTTTTACGCAGTTCCAAGTGTACTGCCACAAAAAATGCCCCGTACCTTACGATTGCGCCAAAAATGGAATTTTCGTAGGCGACAACAGCTTTCACGTCACACCCCTCCCTCACTAGACGAGATCCGAATGAAAGCTGATGTATCAAATGGAAAACTCGTACAAAGTCCATTCTGGCTTCGGGATCACGAGTTTTACAACGCGATCTCGGATCGTGCATCACAGACAAAACCGTCTCCAGTCTTGCACCCATCGTATCCGCCTGAACAGATTTAAAGGCAAAACTATGCTAGGGGTACGCCGACTCTTGATTACGGTAGGCGGTTTTCGTCTCCTTCTTGGAGTGAGAAGAAAAGTCGACTCACTTCGCTCAATCGTACGAGGAAATCACCGTGTTTTGTCAGCAGAACGGCGACGTCGTCACGAGGCAGCAGACCGTGGAAGTAGTCTTGCTCCATCACTGCCACATCAAACTGTAACAGTTGCCGCGCATCAGACGAGTGAGCAAAAGTGCCAACTTGGCAAAGCAACTGACGGATTCGGCAGGAGGAACACCTGTCTTGGGCATTCGCTTCGGGCAAGTAAAGGCGAGTTTGAGAATGAAGTGATGGAGCAAGCTGCCATTATCAACTCTATTATACCCCTTCGCAGATTCATCACGAATAAATGGTCTTCCAAACGGATATGGCACCGACTCGATATGTTGCTCATACAACTTCATTGGATTGTGTAGTGCAATAGAGCACTTACACCAACCGGCATTGCTGGAATGGAATTCGTGGATACCTCAAACAGAGGGCCCGTGCCCAAGCAGGGAAGAGACGCACGTGGATTGGTGACGAACCGCAGCGAGTACTGTGTGATGTAACAAACATTTAGCTTGGCGCTAAATCGCTTCAGAACGCGCTGCAACTCGGCCGCTGACCTGTGTGCGTCTTTGCCTTTTCGCCCCGCGCGACAGGCCTTCTTTCTGCGACAGCGAATTTGTTTTTTTGTTCAATAACACTACGTGATGCTGACTTACAGCTCCTCCCAAATGGATTTGTTTAACGTACGGGTTGACAACTCCATGCAGGTGTTTCGCACTGGCCTCGTAGCAGTGCCGCCTACACGTCTGATCACATGCATGGCTGAATTTATGGCGCAAGAACTAGCCTTGGTCTGCACAAACCGGAAAAAATCACATAAAACCGAAGTTTTGAGGCTAACTGCTTACATGTACATGACTAATTTGCCGTACGGATTCTTCCTTCTGCATGCTTGTACAGCAAGTTATCACTTCATTATATAAACCAGAACTTTGGTGTGTCGGTTTGTCGGTGTGTGTGTGTCGTTCTGTCCGTCCGGACCAACCGCTCACAAAACCAGGGAGTACGAAGGGCAACACTTCGAGATGTTGATGTCATGATCATGGTAAGACCTATAGCGGTTCAAGCACACTAAGTCTCATTGTAGATGGTGCTGCCGTGGCAGCCGGATGAGCGGGGGGGGGTTGTGGGGAAGAGGGGTAGAGGGAAGGGGGCAAGGAAAGGGAGGCTGGAAGGGAGGGGGAGAGAGAGAAGGAGGGAGGGAAGTGGGAGAGGAGAAAGGGAGGGAGAACATGGCGCTGCCATGCGCCGGAGAGAAGGGTAGAGGAGGTATAACACATTCAATAGTGAGGTGGTTAATGGAGTACGTCATGCTGTGGTTTTCCGTGGTTCCTCCCTACCCTGTGATGCGCGCGATAGCGGGCGGAGCAAACCTAGGTTCAATTAATTTGGGTGCATTCAAGGCAGAAACAGGGGTGAAGGGCGCTGCTGCTACTCGTTCACTCTGCGGAAGGGATTACGCCAACTCTTATAGAATCTTCTATTATAAATCATTTTGCAGATGTAAAGCCAGGCAACTTGCACGAGTTTCGAGTGGAACTTCGGACACTTCTCATAGGTCCAGCTTGTACCAGGAACATTTCCCCGCTTCCGAAAACTGAGTCCATATGCTGTGATTCAAACATCGAATCACATAAAATTCCTCGTCAGCTCACAAATCCCTTTTCATTCATATATTTATGCTTTGAAACAGCTGCACTAAAAAGGTTGTAAAATAGAAATTAACAAGATCAAAGAATCCCTGTTGGAACTCAACTATAAATCCAACAATCGGGACACAATACAAAGGCTTTTCAATGACTAGGTTTCATCTAGGAATTCACAACACGTAGGAATTACATAATAAAGATTTCTCAGCACCTGAATACACAATGGCACTGCAAGGTTACTGAAATGCAGCTCAAACTTCGAGATAAAGGGTAATTCCACAAGCACCTATGTATGCGTTTGATGCTTATTTGCAGGGTTAACTTTGCTTGGGGAGGGGGGGGGGGAGGGAGGGGGTGGGTGAGCGACGCCGAAGCGGCGCGCGGCATAATCGTGCCCTCTCAGTGGGGTGGCGTAAACTCACAAAATTCAGCTTCTCATAGATGGTATGTGACTCCCCTAGCCCCCATTCCCTGAACTGCCTATACTTCCCCTGGCTCACAAACTCCTCGTTTGCCTACGAAAGACAGACTTATGCCCCATGACCATAGCGCTCCCAACAACTAAGTTAGCATCTTGTTGCGAAAATGAAAGTACATACAAAATGAGTCGTCAGCCAGCGAAAAATGGAATAGCGCGGCGCAGACACCATCCACATTCCCAACGGTGGGTGGCCGGAACCCGGGCAGGCGGCCAGAGCCTAAAAACAGTAAAACTCGAGGGTCACACGCGCTTTCGAGTTGCAAATCGTCTCTCTGGTCGCGGTTTTCCCCGCCTGACCACAAAATAAGCTCTTTCACTCAGCCTAATCGTGAAATGCACCTTCAACTACAAGATACAATAGTATCTACTCTGAGGGATAATAAATAGGAATTAAACAACAACAACAGCTTCAAACAATTGAAAACGTGATGATAAGCTGGTCTGGCAAATTGAGCGATCATGCAGTGCGGTTGTCGTCAACAGAATCGCCAAAGGTGCGATTATCTCACTGACAGACGCCGTTTCGAGCAGATTGACCGGGAGGACAAGATCGAGCTGGAAACCGATAATTTTTCACATTAATGACAAACTGAAACTCAAAGGCAGCGAGTAAGCCAAAGTTGGTCAGACCCAGAGGAATACTGTGCCGGGGGAGCAATCAAAAATGCGTCAATTGTAAGGCAGATTACTGTTCGAATTTCATTTTGGAGGGGCATGTCGTGCTCCATACTCTGTCGAGATGGCTTACCCAAACAGCCTAATCGTAGCCATGAACTCGTCCAGAATCTACGGACAAAATATGGATCCCACGGGTTTTGACCTGCACACCATTGAACACTCCAGGCCCATTTTGAATGCCCCAAGAACTATCTTACTGTCTTTGAGTTGCTTATGCTCGACTGGTGTGAAACATAATGCTGACTGCCAAGAGCTCTCTGTGGGCATAACCACCATAAGTAGGTTAAGCTTACGATGACTCACCACAATAGGAAGCTTTTCGTCCGTTTCTGTTTCCTATCACACGCACCAAGTATTTAGGACATTCAACTGAAATTGAAGTTGTTGAATTTACACGAAAAGACTGGACTTTAAGACCTGTATTTATGGCGGAAAGCTAGTCGTAAACCTACTTTCTACTGCTGCTGAGTAGGAATTGTCCCAAGCCGACGTGACAGAACAGCACTGGAGCACCTGAAATACCCATTACCTGAGACGTCTACATTCAAAGATTATTGATCTTGCGCGCGTATAATCGATAATTTCTGAGTTTCACGCGCGTGGGCGGCCCCGAAATGTTGGCCTCACGACTTGCTAGCAGTTTACTTTGCGATCAGGTAGAGGCGTTCTCTTGGGTAAGGCCCTTTATGAAGGCCAAAAGAGCGAAACTTCGTGACCACAAGTGGGTCGGTCTAACATGTGAGCGGGTACGCCGTTGTCGCGTTTCAAAAATACGATAGGGGCTTATAAATTGAGCCAATCTGAGCAAAATCGTGCGCATTACTTACTCCCATCCCTAGATTGTGTGAGCGGCGGATCAGCCCAGTAATCGCCACGATTGGAATAGTCATCCGAAATCGATGGAGGGTTGCGTCTCTGATGAATCGTCCTCTCTGAACTCTGAGGTATCGCGCGTGAGCTTTTGAGGCCTTCTTTCGCCACCCATGATTTTTTTCAGAGCCGAAAGAACTTCGAAACATGTTGCCTTACCTTAGTGGTTGTGTGTGGCATACAAAGGTAGCCGCTTGGACATGCTCGTGTCTTCTGATCGCATTGTACCGGCTCTTGAGTTGCTGGGTTACAACAGCACTGCCCCACGTTCATACCCGCCGTCTAAATATATGCTCAATTATCCACATAAAAAAGCCAGCGGCACGGTGTGTGAACGCTTCCAAGTTATCGAATCCGTTTTAGACACGCCATGCTCTTATTGGTCACGAAAAATTGCTGAAGTTATTGCAACCTCCCAACACACGCTGCATGCTTTACTAATTTTGATGCACATTCATGTAGATGAGTCTTTTTAATCAGGTAATTTGTCAATCGGTATCACTAATATTCAATCAGTGGATTAATGAAAAATAAAAAAAAACCCGCTTTTTTTCTTCTTAATACTCACCTTTACGGAGATGGCTAGATTTCTTGACGAGCTTCGAACAACAAAAGTAGTTCTTTTTTGAAGACGAAAATCGACATTGAAATCCATACGGACAAGTGCTGGACGAGCAGGGCTTCGGTTGTCCGTTCAGGAGATAAGGGGTCATGCCGGACGGACAATGTGCTGGAAGAAACCGGCGATGGGCTTAGCAGTGAAGTCATACATCAACAATTTACACACACGAACACGATATTACTAATGAATCACGCCAATCTAGATATCGTAGCAGAGCAGTATAGAGTAGATGATTAAATCAGTAATACGATTAAGAAAAAACTGCCCTCAAGAGTTGCATTTTGGGCAAGCGTATACGTGGATCTCTGCTCAGCTGCCTAAATAGAATGAAATATGATATAGCCAGAGTGAGATTAGCTACATTTTTCGCACACCACGCGTGGCCGATCGGTTTTCCTGCGCTGTGCGTCCTTAGTCCATCGGGTTGCTCGCCTTCGCCGCAACAGATGTTTTGTTTGATCTATAAACACAGGACCTTGCAAATATTCTCATTCCATCTACAATCTTTTGAAGAAATAAAAAATAATGACAAAAAAGAATCCAATCCGAAAAATTGCTCGGCGAGGGAGCATCATGCAAATGTTTTCATACACAATTCAATGATGGATTTAGCTAGTGACTCTACAGAGGATGCCCGAGTACTTCCCGCACATTGGTATGACATCTTCCGTTGAATTATCACCCCTCAAAGGAAGATGGTTTGAATAAACTGGTTAGAAGCCGAACTGGCGAGTTCGGAATTCTGAGAGACGAGAAACCTCTAATCTTAGCCCTTCAACTCATTTTTGCTCTTCTTGTGGCTATACGAGTCTCTCAAACCGGAGAGCCAACTTTCGTGAGTACGTTCAAAATACATCTTATGCGAAGAACTTTTGTACCAGCTTACGCTCAACTCATCATTAAATCTCCTTGTAAAGGACTCAGTGCACAGAACGAAAAATGCACTGGAAAACAGTCACCACGACCTGTTTCTGTTTCTTCGGTAAAAGCGAGGGGTGCGGGTTCGAATCCCGTCTGGGGCGAAAGTTTTGTTCACAGCCCAGCATTCTTGTGTCACTACGACCGTCGACACCCACTGCGAAATTTTCTAGGCTATACTGCAGATCTACTATAATTTTTATAATATATCGACTTCTCATGTGTAGCAAGTTAGGAACGACACTATCGACTGAAAAAGATACGCCCATTTAGTGGGGGCACGGCGGAGCGGACAAGGTTCAGGAGGTTACCTCGTTCCCTCTGGCCGTCCCGCTCATAATACCTTCACGTAAGCTATGCGGTTAAGCATTTTAACGTATGCGTCCATGCGTAAAGAGGAGACGGAAAGTCCATGGAAGGGCGAAAGGCCAAGCATACAGCGTTCACCGTCAGATGCGCAAAACACTACCTTTCTATTGGAGATTACATGCTATTAGCATTGGTCTGTAATTAAGTGCAGGGTAGGGAGGCAGTCAACGTATTCTCTTCGTCCTAAAGGAATCAGAATATTTAGGACATAATCCTACAAAATCCCCCTTCCCTCACCAAATTGATGATTGGCTAACTTGGCTAGGAAACGGCTCAGAGAATTCGATTCCAGAGCAATGTGCATAGGGAATGGCACTGCTTCCCAGTGGACCATTTACAAAAGCAGCCGGTGCACGCTTTCAAAAAATTCATTCCTAGGTGATAGTTGTACCTAGTTGTACCAACTGATAACAAGAAGCATCACACTAACCAGATTACTGTACTGGCAGTTGTAGCCTGATGGACATTCGTCTGCGATCGGACTACAGTAACGTAATCGAGTAGTTCCTCGCTCGAAGAACGCACGCTCACCCAGCACTGGGCACATCTCGGCTGATGACGTTGGTGGGCGGGACTTTGGCACTTCTGGAATGGATTCTCAATAGAACTAGGTATAATTTAATCCTATAAAACGGATAGTACCTTCATCTATTTTCACACAGTTGTTGCCGTCGATTCTCTCGCCTTTACCGCAGTCACACTTGTTGTTTAGACATCGCGAGTTTGAGATGCACTTAAATAGCCGTTGAAATGAGCTCGAACTAGTTGTTAACTTTTCAGCTAGCCATGACAAGGATGAAAGATTAAGCTGCAGGCGTCAATCGAACCCTTTTTCGGATGCGCTACGTATTGAACTTCCAAATAGAGCCATTTGGGCATTCGGATAGGGCACAGGCATATTTTTTTCCCTCTCCCCCCAGGCAACTCTCAGTACCAACAACACCCCACAGGTTTCAGGGCATGATAATCGGTTCCCAGCTAGTTTTCACCAAGATTTGATCGGACCGTGCGCATGGGAGGTTGCGCCACTTGCCAGTACGCTTGATATTATACTAACACTATGGATATCCTAAAAAAAAATTAAGCAAAAGTATATGACAGTCACCTGAAGGGAGCTTTTGCACGGCTCTCCAATAGCCGCACGATTGACACAACGGCCATCTAGGATATCTGGAAAGGAGGAATTCATTTATTTGTGAGGAATTAATGCCTTCACTGGCCGATAACGGATCGCATGCCTGCGACGGCCTATACGCACACCCTAGCCGATAAAGCCATGGAGATCCTTGCACGAATACGCTGCGCTCTTTTTCAGAAAGCTGTGATACTGGCAGCTACCCGTGTCCCTTAACCGCATTATCAAGCGGAGGGATAGGTCAGGGAGCAGGAGAAAGGATCGAAATAGAAATTAAATTGAGGATGGAAGCTGAGAATACCGCAACTTCTGGCAGCGTTAGCAGAGGCAGTTTAAGTGCTTGAGAGCTTCTACAGGTCTTCGAAACAATTGAGCTATGCCTCACCAATACTCGAGAACAGTCCCAAAAGTTACGATCTCGCAGTCTATTCCATGAAAAGGATTTACTATACCCATCTGCGCGATATGGCATGAAGACTGAGTGTTATCCGTACACTACTTACGTTACCCATACTTTTCGCCCATATGTATGCGCCAATTTCGGCCTTATTTATTTTATAGTCGAACACAAATCTCAACGCAGCTGCGAATATGGATGGCACTCGGAGGCATGGCGCACTCCAACCCCCTCAAAAAAATCGGCAAGGCCGAGGCTCTTTTTATAGTTCACAGATAATCTCGGAACCCATACCTGATTCGAATTGCATTCTGTGGAGACGCACTCGCCAAGTACAGCATGTTGACCCGAGGCACATCTGTTGAAAGCAGCAATTCACTCAATTTCCCTCTTTTTGTCAAATAATGTATTTGCAATCGGTTTTTCAAAGTAAACTACGAAAGTACCTGCAAATGTTGGACTTGCACTTGCTTCCACCGCCGCAATCCTCATCCCCATGGCACGAGCCACCAATAGCCATGTGCACCACACATGTCCCATTGATCATTTTCTCGTTCTCAGCGCACTCTTAAAGAAACACAACTTTCAGAAATCCAAAGAACAACAAGTATTCCTAGATATTGAGAATGAAGTGGGAAACATTTCGAATTTCTGAAACTGGGGATTCTCGGAAACTAAACAAAGGAACACTGAATTATTGTTAGGCGTGGACGCGGGTTTGAAACTGTTTTATCACGTTGGGGAGAAAAAAGTGAAATTATGATTTTACAGCTCGGATAAAAAAGTGGTAACAATATTTGCCGAGAAGGTTCGAAATGAATGAAGATTTCATGAATTTCAGAAAACCGAAAATAATACCCAGACAGTCGTGAAAGCCTTGTGAACAGGAAAATTCTAGCACCTTACGTGGCTTTACGCTCTTCATAATGAGTTAGAGCGCGAACAAGTTCTTGAAGTTATACTTTTTACATATGGAATATAACGCATTCCGATGCAATATACAAGTAAGGTGGGCAGCTTTTCACGCATGTCAAGTGACTGCCCTCACCCCCAAACCCCTAGATTGGCTACACTCCCCCTGGCTCACGAATTCCCCGATTCTCGTGACAGTATAGTAGCGGGCAGCAGTCCCACTTACATTTATGCTTAAAAAAATGCGCGTGCCCACCCTACTTGTATAGCACCCGTTTTCAATAAAATGCAAATTAAATCTTAAATAAGTGATTTATCGCTAAGTGGGAAATCGATACAAACAGCCTCGAAGACATTAAATCAGCAGCGATATCGTTAAACAATATCGCCTTATACTCCTTCGTAATGGACTCAGTCGGGTGGAATCTCACCGTTCTCCTCTTTACTGCAACAGATGTTCTTTCCGTTTCCGTTGACGCTTCGAACACATTCGAAGCCGTCAGCGCACATGTCCGGTCGAAACAATTCTTGCGCGGTGACGTCGACAGCAAACTGTAGGCACTCGACTCTCTGGACATTCACTGAACGGGGGACCGATGCACAGGAATGGACGCTCAGTTATGTACAACCTTGGATACACTCTCCAAGCTATCACATATTTTGTTGGCAGCCGGATCCGTAACTAAGGAATTCAGTCGCTCAGAGTCTAGCAAGCTCTTCGAGGTGCACCGCAGAATACTCAATCTCCATTCAACATGATAGTGGAGCTTGAGGAAGTACTTCACATCCCTCTTCTTTTATGACATAAGGACTGTAGGCGATGAATTAGGTGATGAAGACCGTATTTATTCGGGTCCCCAGACAATCGGGAACGACCCCTGGATCTGAAGCTTGGTCAAACTAGGGGGGTTAAATCCTAGGCCCAGTTCAGATAGCAGGCCGATGCACCAGTTATTACTATTTTATTATAACCACAAGCTGTGATCTATTGTAGTAGAGTACAGTGAATCAGTCGTACCTCCACCCTGTCCACAGCACTTGGAATTGATTTCGCTTCGCTGAGAACTGACAGAAGAAACCAGTAGGGCAAGAATTCTTCTGAAGTCAAACAAATCATTACACTGACAATAGAACAGCAACTCAATTGCGTATAACAAGCCTTAGATAACACACTGCACAAGATGAGAATTGGACTGTAAGAGCACCTAGTTATGTTTTATATGGCTACTTACTTCGCCTGCGGTGCATATCCGTGGCTGATTTGTTCGGCGGTCAAGCAGTGCAAACTGTTTCCGAGAGCATCCGTCTTCTGAAATGAGTCCTTGAATTAGCAAAAAAGAGAGAAAGAGACGAGTGCGGTCGTGAGCGACCGCGTTCCGGTTCAGGTCAAGCTATACGATCGGTCAATGAATAAAGCCCCTGCGCCAGAGTGGCTACAAGGTCGGTCGCATGTGGTACTAACTTCTCCTTTTTCACTTAAGTGGTCAAGCGAGTTGCGCGTGTGAGCGGTATAAGAATGGATGTGGCCTCACTCAGCAGCCAGGTCCTGTTTAGTAGGGTTTTTATTTCTCAGCGGCGCAACATGCAAAAGTTGTGCCAAAAAGCCCTGCAGACCTAAATGAAGATAGATGCAAAAGAGCGAACTAAATATGAATGCCTTTATTAAGAGCTTTTGACAATTTAGTAGGTTTCTGGAACAGCCATGAATGAACCCAGGTCAGCACTTCTATTCAGTTTCGTTAGCGCTATGTTGTAATCGTGCCTAATGTTGCAAGCGGCCGTGTAGCGCTGTACGGGATCAACGCCGATACGACGTATTGCTTCATCTTGCCCAAAGCCGCATTTTCATGACTCAGGAAACAGAAGGTTCACCACATAACCACCTAAATTCTCACTCTATCAAGACGCTTAAAGGAATCTTCCACGGAAAAGCTCCGCCCTCATTACCACAGAAAACGATACCTTAAAGGAATCTTCCACGGAAAGAGTGATCATTTTGTCTTGTGTGTAGGATTAGTATTATCGAAACTAACGCTTATGTTCCGTTCTTTTTGCTATGCTCATGAGGCTAGGGGCCTAAGGGGTATCGTTTTTCTGTGGTAATGGAGGCGGAGCTTTTTCCGCGGAAGATTCCTTTAAACCGGCTAGATTCCTCAACGCGAAATTTTGGTGTAAAGGGCGTTGTTGCATTGCATACGTTCTGGCAATACGTGCTCGCTCTGCCCAGGATACTACCCAAAAATACAAAAGCCATCGCCTCACTATTTTTTTTGGGTTCTGTCTGCGAATCGGACGATGTTCACAGCACTGAATTTACTGATTTGTCACATGACCATTGACAAGTGTACTCCGATGGGCAGCTCATCTCTGAACACAGGTGAATCTCATACAAATCCTGGTAGATAAGTAAATATACAGAACTAAGTACAAAGAAGAATATTGCATTATTACTCCCCATTATTGAATAGCAAAATAAAGACGGAATCGTCCAAAAGTTACAATTAATTGATTGGTTAAAAATTAAAATTTCCATTCGGTGATTAAAACTCAGCAGGTCTGAAAATAAGTCTGGTGGACCTAAATCAGGCTAAGTTGACCTACCGATTAGTCTACAATTTCAATCAAACAACGTACTTGATCTGGAGAAAAAACCTCGAGCTGAGGTGCAACACGAGAATTCATATTCTTTTTCAACCGATCAATGTAATGCGCAAATCATTATCACCAACCTAGTCATGTCCTGCCTGTGGAAATAAACTAACAATAATGCATCAATTCGTATCTGAGGCTGTACTTTGTGAGCAATGAATGAAAGGTTCACTAACGGTCAGCGTTAAATGGATCACAGCTTTTGACCTGTCCGCTGGTGATGTAAGCGAAACTGCGCCGGTGGGCATCCGTCTGAAAAATTCAGTTTTTACAAAAAATTATAGATCCTCATGAAGCGGTGGGGTAGAACTTCTAGGGTCTTTGTATTTTCAAGGTTTTTGAACATGAGGTTCTCAAAATATGAAAAATGGAACACCCACCTCTCGAACAGATCAAATTTAGAGCCAGGCCGAACTATTTTCTGGTAGAAAGCTCTGTAGGACCAAACCCCTCCATGGTGTCCGTCCAGTTATGATAGCACGTATTTGTAGGTAAAAAGACTGGAAAGCGCACCGTTAATACCCTCCTGTCCTTGCCGGCGCAGCAGTAGTAGTTCATCGTATCGGGCTGTTGTTGGCATGTGAAGCCCTGAAAAGCGCTAATTCAAAACGAAGGGAAGCAAATGATTCGCTTCGAGAAGTACACTCCTTCAATTTTTGCCTAGATGGACCAGCACAGGTCATAAGCCTGACACCCACCCAAGATTTTTGAACTCATACTCATCGCTCAACAACGATCATAGCGGTAAATATAGGTAGCTGAAGGACAGTTACCGTAGGAGCGAGCCTAAAAAATCACAAAAAATCCAACCTGCGGACAGAACGCGAAACCTTCACTGGAGCAGGTGGTCGGCATTTGGGACTTTTCGTCGAGATGATAGCTCACTCCACCAGGACAAATCGCTAAAACAGACCAGACGGTCAATAGTGCAACCTCGAAACTGCTATCACCCCGGGACTCACCATGATGACTGCAGCAGTATCCTTGGAAAGCGTTGGGAACGTCACTCTGGCAGGAGTACGATGGCGGACATCCTCCTCCACCAAAAGTAATGTGACACTGCAACAACGGACAAATGGACAAATGCGAAAAGGGATTTTAGCCAAATGTGGGCCTGCCCTCAGACGCTGGCGGAATGGTCCTTCTTATAAGGCGCCACCAGAGAAGCTCAGTCATAGGTCCTGAAATCCGCGATGGGAGAGGTCGTAGTGGGGGGGGGAGGTCCAGAAAGTCTATGATTTTTGAAGAGTCACCATTTAGGCGAGTACTCTGAAGGACGACAGGGGGAGGTATCACGCCAAGAACTCCTTAGCCTGCTTGTAGAAGGTCCCAGGCCCTGCTAAAGTGGTAAGAAGGGGCTCTTTGAACATCCTTATTGTTAGATTGTAGATCTCACCTGTAGTGGCAGCTGTGTCGTTGGATAGCGAAAGAGTGCTCGACCAGCAGGACACAAACCTGGAAAACTCGTTTTAATCAGCCTAAAATCACCGCTTCGACCTTCTGATGAACATACTTCCACTGATGCTTCCGCAGCAGTAGTATTTGTGATTGTTCTGCGAGAATCGACACAAATAGCCTGCAGGGCACTTTCTGTCGGCTGCCATTGCACATTGTCTGGGTGTCGATGTGATCGGCTCCACATACGCCTTTTCACCGATAGGGCAAACGCCTGAAGCATCATCGGATCGGTCGAAAAATGGTTTAGCATGAGATTGAGGTGAGATGAGGATGAGATTTGCTCCGATTTTGCTTATATTCAGACCAGGGAAATTATTCTTGACCATAAACTTCAAAAACATCCGTCCTACTAGAGCTGAGGAACTCACCCATGCTGTCTGACCCACAACAGACGTGTTCCTGAGTAAGAGAGTTCAATGTGCATTCGTAGTTTGTCGGACAATTATTGTGCAGAGCGGTGTTGCAGAGAAACGGACGATTTGTGTTGGGGTCCTAAAAATGAACGGTCTGGTAGGAACAGCAAAGGAATGTCGGGCTAACACCAATTCTTTTTGACCTATGTGACCTTCGTTTATCACCTATATGTCATGGGGTCAGATCACCAACGGTCATTCATGCTAGTTAGATCAGTGGTACTCCATTAATTGGACTGTCGCGTAACTTGAGGTATTCAGACCGGTGCTGTGTTTTGGTGACACCCGTCTTTGAAATGCATTGGACAAAACCAATGTTGAAACCGAGTGCTTCAGATATCACGCTAGATTGCTCACATTTGCCTACATATCCTGATGGCCAAAACTGCCCACCCGAAAGGTTTCAACTACCGGCGCTGCAAACGCACTCAGGCCGAACGCGCGTTTTCTTTCTTGGTTTGGTACTATTATTCTGGCGCCTGGCGGCAGTCGAACGTCATCTCCGAAACGGTTTTTTGTGCAGTATTTTTCTCAACCTAACCAGGTTCCTTCAAATATAGATATGCTACCCATTTTACCGTATTTAAATCACTGAGTTCTGAAAAATCAAAATATTTAATTTGTGAATTTCACCGGGGGTGGAAAAGAGAGCACGGAAAACTTTTTGGCACCCTTATGCCTGCACTTAACTATAACAATCTACTCAACCATGGTTTATATCAAATCCGCTAAACCATTGTATGCGAAATATGATTCATAGGATTGACAAAGGGAAGAATACACAGTCGAAGCGCCATTTGTACCGACGTTCTACACCTCCACTGTATTCTTGTACGCCCATCTCGACATCTGCTCTCAAATCTGCGAAACATTTCGAACGTAGCTAGACCGAAATATGCAGGCCAGGCAGCCAGAGCCCGGTCAGCAAGAGTCCGCAAAATCGTATACTCTGTCGAGTAATTTGTGTTTTTTGACCAACATCGGGGTTAAAGACCTTTCCATCCATCTACGCCCATCAGCCGCTATCAGATTCAGGGAAACAGCTGCAAAGTCTTCAACATCTGTGGCGCTCCCTGCAATGAACGTCCCTGGCACTCTACGCATCGGTCATTGCACATTCTTTGCCGAGACAGGCATACTTTTTGTTCAGCGCACAAACAGCCTGGTTCAAACTCTAAAAATACCCCCTAAAGTTGACAACCTGGCCAGCACACGACATGGACGTGGCAAATAGCGTCACAGTGTCCAAACTCATTTGGCAGCTTTTCCCATATAGATAAGGCAGTCGCGATAATTAGCAGCACAGATAACCTTTAACAAGGTTCCAAGAAACCGCAGCTGAGCAGCCTCGATAAGAAGAGTTGCTCACGACCTCTCGCTCGTCGGCTCGGGCCGTTGCCATGCACTATCTCGCTTCATAACTACGTCCAGAGAATCGTTTCGCAGATTGGAGAACAGATTCGAGATCAGCGTCCAAACACACATCTAGTGGCGTATAACTCGTTACAAACGGCCACTTCGACCTGGTATCCTTCCCTTGTGAGTTGCATCAGGTCATTGTGCAGTGCATTCCATGCATTGACCCAAAATTATGGCAACATGCTAGTGGACACTGGAATGTGTCACGGCGATGTTTTGGCGCGACATAGGGAAGGGTGATACTCTAGCTACTAGACTGGACTCCAGCCGAAGCAAGTAACTCGTCGCTGCTTATAGGAACGAGATTGACCAAAATCCCGGTCTGCTGACTGATAAAAAATGTATGAGCGATGACGATTCGTAGTAAAAAAGGAGCCTCCCACAGATTCAGAGGGTCACTGAAATCCGGAACAACTAGAATATGAAATCTGAAGGACTTCACTACCTCATACGTGCAAGATGTGGTATAAGGGAACCGGGGATGCACAAAAGTCTCAGGACGAAACAACTCGACACAGGTGATTCGGCGGGGACATTGGGAAAGAAAGGCGCCGCTGTCCGGAGCACCACAATTCCTCTTATAAAAAGCGGAGAAAGAAATCGCCATATTTAACGTTGAGTGCCCCTACTGCCCCGAACCCGAGTGCAGTTAGCGCGTGCCAGAAAAAGAAAACTTATTTTTAAATACTCGGCGGCAGCCATTCCAACCTTACACTGTATCTCCATCTACTCCTGCACTCAACGAACTCACACCGATCAATGTTTGAAAAAACGATCAGCGATGTTCAACACACGTTGACGTAATATGTAACAGGTCTGCAGTGCCACGTTGAAGTAGTACCTGCAAAATTGCAAGTAGGAATTGAGCTCTACTTGTGAAAGGATGAAACAACACAATCCAAATTCGAAACTCTCACAGCTAGGAAAGAATAGGAAAATTGCGGAAGATGCGCTCACCTTGTTTGACCGCTTCCACTGCTGCATTTCGGCAGCATGCCCATCTGTGGTGGTTTTGAACATATCGACGCTAAAAAGTGAAAACACTGCACCACTCAAAGCAAAGACCACGTGGCTTGAGGGGTGATTCTTCAGTGCTTCCGATTTATCGATTTACTCCTAGGAATTGTTTGGAAAAATGAAAAATGAAAATAAAATGGCATACTTGAAGCAACGTCTTAACCCCGAGAAGTGGTGTACATCTTCACAACTCTCGAGTTAGTAATCTTACAAAATCGATACTTTTGAATCGAATCGCTATGCGCCGTTGCATTCTGGTGGGCGTGGCCTTGCGTGCGTCGCGGTAGCGTGGGCGAATGCTCAGTTACGCAACAGTCCACAAAAGCAAGCGCAGTGACTCATACAATTGGAATCAACCGTCATTTGTACCTAGTTTGACGAGGGGTGGATCGAATCAAAGTAAAGATAGTGATGGCTGGAGGGCGGTGCGGTTTTGATGACGTCACTGAATGTCACTGGTGGACTAGATCGCACTGTGGTGTGTGGTTGGAACCGCCTCTTACGCACTTTAAAGCAAGGGATTCCTAACGATGCTACGCAGAAAAGCTATGCAATTCAAGTCTTTTTATCAGTGCACTCTTCTCGAAAGAGATCTTCGGGCGGGGAGACTCAGCGACCCAATTTGTATTCGCTTTACGATTTCAATATAAACTGCTAACTAGTTATGCTATTGGCTCGGTCACGGCGAGTCAATTCGTGAAGTCCTTCAAATTCAATTTTTTTTCCAAAATAACTATACCAACGAACATTTAGTCGGGCAGCATCGTCGTTGAGTGACACCGTTCGCGTCCACCTGACTGCACTCATAGCCGGCCGGACACGGATCGGACATGGAACAAGAACGCATCTTCTGGTTCGTTCTCAGCGGTGAGCCACCGTTTGGACATACTGTAATGGAAAGATGGCTATCGGACGGAACTAACAAGTTAGTGAAGCTTTTTCACGTCACAGGGCTCCCTGTGAGGTTACTGTAAAAACCACATTACAAAGTCTCACCTGCTATCTCACAATAGTTTTGACATTTCTCCGCGGAAGGAAAATTATTTGAGTTACCATCACAACCGAGGAACAGGAACGATTGGCATTCCTAAAGTATAAATTTCAATGGGGAAGACTTCAAAAGTGTCCGGTGCAGAAGCAAAATTTGAATTTAATAACAGTTTCAGCCAAATTACTGAGAAGTCGTTGTCCTCAGCTTTAGCCGTCTAGTTAGGGGTATGTTGTCTGCTGGCAGTAGCAGTTCTGTACT